GGGGACCCTGTGGGCAGACCCCCCCGCCCCACACACAGTAGAATTCATCCAAGAGATGCAAGGATAGTACAATATTTGCAAATCAGTGATATATCACATAAACAAATTGGGAGATAAAAGCCACATGATCATATCAATAGGTGCAGAAAAAGCATTTGATAAAATCTCTCACCCATTTATGATAAAAACACTCAGCAAAGAGGAAGCAGAGAGAGCATACCTCAACTTAATAAAGGCCATATATGACAAACCCAGTGTCAGCATCATATTCAATGAGCAAAAACTAACAGTGTTTCTCTTATGATTAGGAACAACACTGGGGTGTTCACTTTCACCACTTTTATTCAACACAATACTGGAAGTACTAGCCATAGTGATAAGACAAGAAGAAGCAATAAAAGGTGTCCAAATTGGAAAAGAGGAAGTAAAACTGTCATTATTCACAGACATTTTATTGTACATAGAAAACCCTATACTCTCCACCCAAAAACTACTTGACCCAATAAATGAATTCAACAAAGTAGAGTGATACAAAGTCAATATTCAGAAATCAATGCTATTTTCTACATCAATAATGAACTCTCAGAAAGAGAAACTAAAAAACAATCCCATTTACTATTGCAACAAAAAAATAAAGTACTAGGAATAAATTTAACTAAGGTGGTAAAAAACCTGTACTCAGAAAACGGTAGGACACTGAAGAAAGACGCTGAGGATGATACAAATAAGTGGAAGCATATACCATTTCCTGGATTGGAAGAATTGACACAATTAAAATGTTCATACTACCCAAAAAAATCTATAGATTCAATACAATTTCTATTAAAATACCAATGGTGTATTTTGCATATTTAGAACAAATATTCCAAAACTTTATATGAAACCAAAGAAGACCCCAAAGAGCCTAAGCAATCTTGAGAGAAAAGAAAGAATTTGGAGGGATCATAATACCTGATACCAAACAATACTATAAGTCACTATAATCAAAACAGTCTGGTACTGGCATAAGAACAGGGACATAGATCAATGGAACAGAATAGAGAGCCAAGAAATAATTCCATGTCTTTATGGTCAATTAGTATTTGACAAAGGAGGCAAGAGAATACAATGGAGTAAAGATAGTCTCTTCAATAAATGGTGTTAGGAGAAATGGACTGGTACATGCAAAGAAATGAAACTAGACCACCATCTTATACCATATACCTGAATAAACTCAATTTGGATAAAAGACAAATATAATATATATCATGATGCCATAAAAATCCTAGAAGAAAAATAGGCAGTAAAATTTCAGATATCTTGCATAGCAATATTTTTGCCTATATATCTCCTTGGGCAAGGGAAACAAAAGAAAAAATAAACAAATGGGACTACATTAAATTAAAAAGTTTCTGCACATATAAAGAAACCATCATGAAAATGTAAAAAAAACTGACTATATGGGAGAGCATATTTGCCAATACACATCAGAAAAGGGTTTCATCTCCAAAATATATGAAGAACTTATACAGTAAACACCAGGAAGACAAACAATCCAATTAAAAAATGGACAAAGGACCTGAATAGACACTTCTCCAAGGAGGACATACAGAGGGCCCATAGACATATGAAAAAAATGTTCAAGATCACTAGACATCAGAGAGATGCAGATTAAAGCAACAATGAGATATCATTCATACCTGCCAAAACAGCTATCATTAATAAATCAGCAAACAACAGGTGTGGTGAGGATGTGGAGAAAAGGGAACCCTAGTGCACTGTTGGTGGTAATGCAGACTGGTGCAACCACTGTTGAAAACTATGGAATTTCCTCAAAAAATTAAAAATGGAACTGACTTTTGACCCAACAATTCCGCTGCTGGGAATATATCCTAAGAATCCCAAAACACCAGTTCAAAAGCATGTGTGCACATCTATGTTCATAGCAATGCCATTTACAATAGCCAAGTGCTAGAAACGGCCTAAGTGCCCATTGGTAGATTAATGGATAAAAAAGTTGTGGTACATGCACACAGTTGAATACTATAAAGCAATAAAAAAGAAGGAATTCTTACCTTATGACAGCATGTATGGAACTGGAAAATATGCTAAGTGAAATAAGCCAGTTGGTGAAAGACAAATACCATATGATCTCATTTGTAAGACGATTCTTATGAACAAAATAAACTAATGAGCAAAATAGAACCAGAGGCATAGAAACAGAATAGACTGACAGCTATAAGAGGGGAGGTGGGAGGTAGGGATTTGTTGAAAGAAGGTGAAGGGATTAGACAAAGGACATATATGAATGACCCATGGACATGGACAACCATGTGGGGATTGACTATGGGATGGGGGGTGGGCTGGGTGGAGGGGGGAAAATTGAGAAAAACTGGGACAACTGTAATAGCATAAACAATAAAATATTTAATAAAAAATTAATTAAAATAAAAAATTTGCCCTTGCATTTCCTGTAGTTTTTGCTTTATGAGAGCTGTGCTACATTATTGAATGTATTGATATTAAAAAATTGTTATATCTGCTCTGACTGGTGTGGCTCAGTGGATTGAGTGCCGGCCTGTGAACCAAAGGGTCACTGGTTCGATTCCCGGTCAAGGTACACGCCTGGGTTGCAAGCCAGGCTCCCAGTTGGGGGCATGTGAGAGGCAACCTATTGATGTATCTCTTGCACATTGATGTTTCTCTCTCTCTCTCTTTCTCTCTTCTTTCCCCCTCTCTCTAAAAATAAATAAATAAAATCTTTAAAAATTGTTATACCTTCATTGTGAAATTATAACCTTTGGCATATTAGAGTATCCTTCTTGGTCTTGTTTAATGCTTTTTGGACCTGAATTCTACCTTATGTGGGATCATAACACTTTTTAAATTTTGTTTTAATCTGTATTTTCCTGCTATATATCCATTTACTACTTTCAAAATAACTTTCTTAATCTCTTTGATTTGGACATCTCTTGTAAAGAACATAGATTTACATAAGCTAATATGAAAACTTGTTTCTTTAATAGTGAATTAAACTTTTTACATTAATAATACAGATAATGTGTTTGACTTCAATCTGCCACAGTCTTCTGTTACATTTATGCAAATATTTATCTTCAACATAAATAACATCATTACTATGCTTTTTTAATGGAATATCTTTTGATATTGAGAAAGGCTTGTATTTTTATTGTAATATTACTTTTATGATAACTACTTTATGCATTCCCTTCCTTTTAAAATATTATGTCCATTCATCCCCTATTCTAAATAATAATGAAATTTTTGAGGAACTTTTTACCCTCCCCTCTTCCTTTCTCAGTATCTAATTTGAAATGATATCCTTTTATTCCCAGTTTTTACTTAGAAATATATACTTATGTAGGACAATCCGTGGATTGACTCAACTTTTCACATGCTTTCCCCTTCTCCCTCCACTTTTTTGTCAGCTGTATTATATTTGAATTTTTAAAGCATGTAATGATAAATGCTCTTCTTTCATCTTTATTACCATTATTTAGTCTTAGTACTACAGTTAAATATATTGAAATACTCCTTATCATACTGTATGGCAAATGTTTTTCCTACAATTCTGGTTTGGTTTCTTTTGTTCCTTTGTTCTGATGCTCATTCTTCCAGATTGCCCAGGAAGGGACTATGGGAACAACAGTCCCTGAGTCCTTGCAAGTTCTTTGCTGTTTCTCTTTGATCTTTATACTTAAAGTCAGTTTGGATGGATATAAAATTGCTTTGTCAGCAGAAGGGCAGCCTTCCCTTTCACACATGCATCCTCCTTATTCTGGCTCTCTGGGTTTTTGTTTTGTGTATTAGTTTTCTATTGCCACTGTAACAAATTGCCATAAACTTAATGGCTTAAAATGGAAAAAATTTATTCCCTTGCTGCTCTGGAGGTCAGGAGTCTAAAAATCAAATGTTGGAAGGGCTAGTTCCTTCTGGAAGCTCTAGGAGAAATTTTGTTTTCTTGCCTTTTCAAACTTTGAGAGGCCCTCTGCCTTCCTTGGCTCATTGTGCAGTGTTTGAAGTCCTGGTTCCATCATCCCATCTCCTTTCTTACAGGGACCCTTGTGACTGCATTGGGCCCATAGTCATAGGTCTGTATAGAGACTCAGAATAATCCAGAATAATCTCACCCTCAAGCCCTTTGATTTACTCACACATGCCAAGTCCCTTTTGTCACATGAGGTAACCTATCCATAGGTTCCTTGAACATCTTTAGGGGTGTTATCTAGCCTAATACATTTTGCTTTTTCTGTGGACATTTCCCTTATTTCCTGTAAACCAACAATGCAGTAAAAAATATGTGTTATGCAGAATCCAGTTATTTTGTTGTGGGAGGCCCTTCAGAGTATTTCCTGTCAGAAGCAGAAGTCCTCTTACAATTTGTACAGGTTCCACTCAAACCTTTGGGCTCAGCATCTGTAGGGTTAGGTTAATAAATCTGTATTTTAAAAACTACAACCAGGGTGATTCTTATAATAAACCAGAGTTGAGAAGTTTACTCCACAACTTGTTCATATGCAGAGGGTGAGACATCATAAAAAGTCAGGGCCCACATGGATGAGGAAGTGGGTGAGGGAAGCTCAGGGACTCTGGCTCCTGGCTCAGTTCCTGATAACACATACCTTTCCGGTCCCCTACACACTCCCTGTGGTTTTATTCCACTTATTGGTAACCTTAAGTCAGTCTTCCTATATGACCTTACAGGTGAACAGAAACTTAGAGGTCATGAAAGATTGAATATAGCTTGACTGACCTAAACCCTACTTGTCCTTTAAGGACATTACAAAGATGCCCCTTCTGCTCGAGACCTTCCCTGATACATCTCTGATGAGTATAAAAGTATGATATCTTCTCTCTTTGACTCTTTCTAACTCTTGGAATCTCATGCCATATTTTCCCAACTAGATGCTCTTCAAGGCTAGGGACCACATCCAGTTCATCATCACTGCCCCGTGGCCCTTAACCTATCATGTCAATAGTGATTGAATGGGACACAGAGCCCAGTTGCCTAGATAAGTTTTATTGATGCACCAGGATAGATAGGGCTGTGGACAGATGGCAGAGAGAAAAGTAGCTCTGAAAAACCCCATAAGCCGAGGAACATTCAGGAAAGGGATGACTTGCTCTGTGTCTTCTGCTTCTGAGAGGGTCTGCACAGCAAAGCAGGCAAGAGAGAGAGTTTAGGATAGAAAGCACCCTGCAGAAATGGCCTCACTGAGAAAGACCTTAGAGAGAAGCACCATGATTAAGCTCTGATGTCCAGGGACATGCCAGCTGAACTGGCCAGGGCAGGCCAAGCCAATGCCTCTCCAGCTGTCTTCTTCAGGAGCTGGACACTCATGGCTTGTTGCTTTTGAAGTAGGAATACAGCTCCCTGGCTGTGAAGCCTCGCTTCTCCTCTGGCTGTGCTGCCTCTGGGCCCTGCACTGAAGGCTTGCTGGTGTGCAGGCTGCCCTGGGCCTGCCTTCGGATTGCTGTCTCCCTTGTGTGGTCATCAGCCCACTCCTCCTGCTTAACTACCGAAGGCTCTCTCTCTCCCTGCCCTCCCATCACACTGCCCCTTGGGTGAGTGCTGCTGTAGTCCTGTCTGCCCGTTAGAGTGCTTGTCCCACTCTGGGCCTGTCCTCCCCGTGTGGGCTCTTCTGCCTCATAGCTGCTCACTTGTGTGCATCTTTGACCACTGCTTGGCTGCATCTGGGTCTGTCCCTGTTCTCTAGCCCCTATGTGTCTTGGAGTCTGGCTCCTGTCCTGATTCTTATTCTGGATATGTGACCCTGACTCTGTCTGAACATGTCCTCCTGTAACAGTGTGTCTTGTCTGGCTCCTGTCTTGACTGCGGGTCCCAGTCACCCTGGTCTGGCCGTGGGTGGGCTCCTGTGTCTGGGTGCTGGTGTTTCCTGTCCGCTGGCTCCTGTCCTGCTCCACAGTCTCGGTGGCACTTCCCTGTGTCTGAACTTGTCCTCCTGTAACAGTGTGTCTTGTCTGGCTCCTGTCTTGACTGCGGGTCCCAGTCACCCTGGTCTGGCCGTGGGTGGGCTCCTGTGTCTGGGTGCTGGTGTTTCCTGTCCGCTGGCTCCTGTCCTGCTCCACAGTCTCGGTGGCACTTCCCTGTGTCTGAACTTGTCCTCCTGTAACAGTGGGTCTTGTCTGGCTCCTGTCTTGACTGCGGGTCTCAGTCACCCTGGTCTGGCCGTGGGTGGGCTCCTGTGTCTGGGTGCTGGTGTTTCCTGTCCGCTGGCTCCTGTCCTGCTCCACAGTCTCGGTGGCACTTCCCTGTGTCTGAACTTGTCCTCCTGTAACAGTGGGTCTTGTCTGGCTCCTGTCTTGACTGTGGGTCCCAGTCACCCTGGTCTGGCCGTGGGTGGGCTCCTGTGTCTGGGTGCTGGTGTTTCCTGTCCGCTGGCTCCTGTCCTGCTCCACAGTCTCGGTGGCACTTCCCTGTGTCTGAACTTGTCCTCCTGTAACAGTGGGTCTTGTCTGGCTCCTGTCTTGACTGCGGGTCTCAGTCACCCTGGTCTGGCCGTGGGTGGGCTCCTGTGTCTGGCTCCTGTCTTGCCCCTTGGTCTCCGTGGCACCTGTCTGGGTCTCAGTTATGGTTCCAGTAACAGTTTCACTTGCCTGGGGGGCTCTGATCTGTTCCCCAGTCTGTGACTGCCTCTCTGATACTCTTTCTCTGGTCTGGGGGCTCTGATCTTCTCCCTCTCTCTGGGTTGGCTCCACATTTCCTCTTGCTTGTGTTCGCAGGCTCTCTTTGTCCTGTCTCTGAGACTCATACTGCCTGTCATGGTGACTGACCTGAGAAGAGCTGATGTCCTGACCGTGGGTCTGTGTCCCAGTTCCGCCCTGCCCTCTGGCAGCCTGCCTGCTCTGTCTACCACTGCTCCCCTCCTGACGCTGTCTTTCCCCAGTGCTTCCCACTTCTGTGACACTTCTTTCTCCTTCTCCCAGCTCTGGCAAGGCCCCAGAGGGGAAGCTTCCAGACTCTTGAGGTCCACACACTCCCTCAGGACTCTCACTCAATGTCTTAAAACAGGCCTGTGCGACTTTAAACACTAAGACTAAGAATTCCTTGAATTCTACAGTCCCTGTGTGGTCTTCATCCAGCAGGCGCAGGACTTCATCCACAGTGGCCGGGTCGTGGGGTTTCTGAGGAGAAGATGAGGCAAAGTCAGCAGCCCTCCCTAAGGAGGATGTGGTTAGGCCGGTCCACTCTGATTCTAGGATCCCACCCCCAACCTGGAGCCCATCCGCTCCAGTCCCCTCCTTGCCTCCCCACACTGTTATGGCAATACAAACACAAAATCACTGTCATTTTTTAGTCCTCTCTCTCTCCCTCATGACAGAGAGCTCCTTTTATTTTATATCCTCTGTGTCTGGCACCATTTCTGTCCCATGGGTGAACTGGACAAAGACTTCGTGAAGAATGAATAAATGATGGCACTCGTAGGTCGCTTTCAGACTCTGGCCCCACCTCTGATGCCATAGTCTTACCAGAGAGCCCAGCGCCCAGAGAAGGACAGCGGGTACATGGCCCCAGGGACATTCTGTGAGCTCCTCATTGAGGCTCAAATGTTTTCCCAACATAGGGTGGGTAGGTGTCCTGAAGGACCACAGGTTGCCATGAGCATGGAGAAGCAGCACCCGGATGGGCCCACACACTCCTGTCCCCAAGACCTGAACCATCCTGGTTCCTTTAGCAGAAAGAGGCAGGGAAGTGCCTCAAGGCCCTGGGGGGTCTGGTTTGCCAGGGTGAGCCTCCCCAACGGGGCCTGTGAACAACATGCTTTCCAACACCTCGTTTCTGATGTGAGCACTCAGCTCGTGTTTTTGAGCAGCCGCTTTGTACATGGCCCAGAGCTGTGCTTCTCAAGAATGTTTATTAATGGGTGAAGAAATCTCTGATAGAGTCAATGGCTACCATATCAGATTTAAGCAGCAGCAAAAGTAGCAATTACTTTTATTTCTAGAACAGTCAAAGGCTGTGTTTCTCCCAGAGCTGTCCCGTTAGAGTCCTTTAACCTTGTTTCTCAGTTAGAATCAGCTGAAGTCAAGGCATTTTCTCTAAGGACTAGTGACTGTCCCTTGTTCCTTCCTGTTTCCCTGCCTGCACAGCCTCCAGGATGACCTGCAGGCCTGGATCTAGCGGCTGCCTTCTTGGATTCCTGAGGCAAAGCTGGTCTGCTGGCAGACCGTTTCTCTCTCCCCTTCACCTCCTCCCGACCTGGCTGAGCACATCATACCACAATGACATCAGCAAACTCTTGCTCCAGGAGCCTTTTCAGCTCCCCCCGGGTGAGCACTGAGCAGTTTCCCTCTGTCCTGGCATAGCGTTGAAAGGCGTCGATGATCCCGTTAATGTTTCGCAGTAACTGAGGCATCTTGGGAGTCCAGCTGGAAAAAGAAGAAAGGCCCCCCCCAGGGGGCTCTATAATCAACCTGAGGGGGTTCCTCCTAGGGAGTACTCCTGCTTCTAAGTCCTTTTCCTACATTTTCGGCTCTGCTTCTGGCCTCTCTGTTGTCTTCCTTCTTTCCTTTCCTTCATAACGTATTTATGGAGGGGACAGTGGGGCACATAGTGATCAGAGCCAGGCTCCTGAGTCAGTCTGCCACCTACCCATCAGGTGAGCTAGGGCAGGTTGCTTTGCCTCTCCAGGCTTCAATTTACTCATTGTGAAAAGAAGGCCATACTAGTATTTACTTTAGAGGATGATTCTGAAGATTAAAAGAGAGAATTCATTTAATACACTAGCCAGATGCTGGCTTATACAAAATGCTAACTATTACATATCACTATGATATTATTATACACATATATTATATTCATGTATATACATATACACATGCATACATCTATATATACTCTACTATTCACAAATCACTTTCATATACATCATCTCTTATAATCGTTATTATCTCCACCTTTTTATAGGTGAAGGAGCAGACTCAGACTTGGGTGATTTGCCCATACAGCTTGTAAGGAAACAAGGACTCCTAGAACCTATATCTCCTGAACCCAAATGCAATGGTTTTTTGGACTCTGCCCTAAGGATGGTCTATTCAGTCTATCTTTGCCTGCCACTCCATGTTAGAGTCCTGATGGTAACACCAACAGGCAGTAAGTACCAGTGTGAGTCAACTCTTGCCTCAGGTGGGGGCCAAGTAGGAACCCAGGGGCTAACTCGACCCTTCCTTGCTGCCTTTTAGGAAGGTGTTTGGGAAGAGGCTGGGCCACCTGGGACCAATGAGGAAAGGGGTGTTCTGCCCAGGTGAGAGGTCTACCAGGTCTGAGAGACCAGGTTTCTCTGAATGTGAGCACTGTCCTCAGCATTAGGACCTGAGGTATGTGGTTCCTTCGAGCCTGGAACCCTAGTGACCTGTGAGGAAGGGTTCTCAATTGAAGGGAGTGATTTTTTTTTCTCATCAGCCAGAGGGCTGGGTGCAGGTTGAAGTGAGTCCTGGGTGTGGCTGGGTGAGCAACAGGCAAAGAGACCTGGAGGTGCAGAAGCCTCAAGGAGAACATAGGGAAGAAATGGTGTCTGAGATGGCAGCTTTCAAATGCAGGGGGAGATGGAAGGCTATGGGGGTGGGGGGGATAAAGGGGGGCACCATGGCATTGGAGAGGAGAGGGCGCAGGAAGAGGAGGGCCTGTCTGGAGAAGCAAGAGAGTGAAGGAAGGAAGCAGACCTGGTGGCTCTTCAGGAAATGTCCTATCTACAATCCAGTAGCCAAAAATTTCAGGCAGACTTGACTTTCCTTATACATCAAAACCAGAATATTGCACCTCAGCCCTGGCTGGTGTGGCTCAGTTGGTTGGGTGTTGGTCTGCAAAGTGGAAGTCCTGGGCACATGCCTGGGTTTCGGGTTCAGTTCCTGGTCAGGGCATGTATGAGAGGCAACCGACTGATGTTTCTCTCTCATATCAGTGTTTCTCTCTCTCCCTTTCTCCCTCCCTTCCCCTGTCTCTAAAAATAAATAATTAAAATCTAAAAATACATATATATGTGTGTATGAAAAGAATATTGTACCTTAACAGAGACATGAAAAGATCCTGTTTTTGTTTTTGATTTTGTTTTTAACCATGTGGCAGACCTTAATCACTGACATATAAGCAGTAAAAATAATAAGACATTTTAATTACACTTCAGATCCCTTAGAATAAATTCACAAACTCATCTTGCCTCAATATTGCCTCTTTCTCCCTGAGAAGGTTCAACCCCATTGTCTGTGTTGGCAGAAGTAACCTAATTCTAGTCTCACAAATCCTGAGCATTGCCAAGAAACTTCCTTGGCTGATCCAGGAAGGCCTGTGGGTGGTCCATTGCCCTGCCAGTGCAGGAGAGGAGTGTGCCCTTTCCCAAGTGTGCTGGTCTGCCTGAGGCCTAGTTAGAGCACACACTTTCCGCCCACAGCCCTGGTTTTATGAGCACAGATCACCAAGACACTGAGAGTGAGAAAGAGGTTCCTCAGGAGGAGACTTACCTAATGCACAGGTAGGATGAGGCAAGTGGCTGCTAAGCGGAGTGTGCAGTGCCAGGTCAGCAGGGCAGGAGCCTTTTATAGGGGATTTAACCAAGGTTAGCGCTAGCCTTTGGACAAGAAGTCCCGCCCCACGGAAAGGCTTGATGCACCCCAGGCTCAGCAGAGCCCCACCTCCCTGCTGTTTCACCTGCTGACTCGTAGCTGTGTTGGTCTCATTATCTGGCCTGTCCTACCACACGTGGAACCCTTTCTCTGTCCTATTCTCTCCCTGGGTCTGTCTCCTCATGACAGGTGGCTCTGTCCTTTGCGATGGGCTCAGCAGTGCTCAGCGGGTGGGGCTCCCCGTGAACATGCTTTGTCTCTGTGTGACTGCAGAGTCATGCGGCGTTTTGTTTGTTTTATACACTAATATTGGAGAACTTATTCATCTGTTGAGGGTTATCCTTTTCGAAGCAGTTGCTTTGGGAGGCTATACATGTTTTTCTGGTGATGTTGGCATTACTTAAAACATTCTTGGAATTCTTGTTTTGGAATTGCCTTTTACGCCCAGTTTATGAGACATGCAAAGGGTCCAATCTTATTTCTTTGTAGTTGGATCTCATATTTGATTTTAAAAAAGAAGGTAATACTAGCTCCTTCCTCACCCCTTCCTATAGGTAGATGGCTCTTTACAGCTGGTAGAAGCTTAAGATGATTCTGTGCAACCCTTCATTGCAAAGACAGGAAACTGAATTGGTCGACTAGCAAATATTTGTGGAGATCCTGCTTCATTTCAGACAGAGGGCTAAGGCCTGAGGGACACAGACTTGAACAAGTGCAGTTTCAGAGTCTGTAGTTGGGTGGTCCCTGAGAAAGTCCCCCAGAGGGTAACAGTGACAGTAATTATCACTTGACCCTCGATACCATCTCCTTTTGTTGGAGGCTCATGACAGTTCTGAGGAGTGGATGGGATGGTTGAGCCCCATAAGGAGGACACTGAGAAATCCTTAGAGACATAGCCACACGATGGAGAAGGGATGGGACTGGACCATCCAGCTGTGAGTTATGAGCTTAGAACTTCCAGAAAGGTTTGGAAACTAAGGGAAAGTAAGTTAAGAAAGCCAGGTGCTTTAACTATGAGGTAGGTATCATTACGTCCAATTTACAGATGAAGAAACTGAGATACAGAGAAAACTGAGATATGGAGAGGTTAAGTAAACTACCTGAGGCCACACACCTAGAAAAGTACAAGATCTGAATTTGAACTTAGGTTTACCTGCCTCCAAGTCTTGTGTCTTTCCACGTGCTCAGGACTGTACCTTGCTGTGGCTCCACAGAAGTAGGGAGAGGTGTCTGTGTGTATTGGGCAGAGGGAGATTCACTGGAGAGAGTGGTTGCAGCTAAGGGAGATGAGGAGGTGGGCGAGATTGGGACTGGCAGTGTCCAAGTGACTATGTAAATCTGTTAGTTTGTAAGGTTCACCTTGAGTTGTTATAAATAGTAACTTCAGGCAGATGGAGGCCATGGACCCTGTCAGAAGTTGAATCAAACTCTTATCTTTTGCTCACTCTGCCATGGAGTGAACAGGAATATCTTAAAGAAACAAATCATTTTTGCATTTTGATTTCTTCTTACCCACTTTCTGGGAAATTCATTGCTCACCTCTACTTGAGTTATTTCTGCAATTATCTAACAGCTGGTATTTCCTACATGGGGTGGGCTACCAATAAAGAATAAGATTGTGATTCTTTAGGAAATCAGTCTCATCAGGCAAACAGGACATGCATACTAAAAATACTTTTCTAATAATGAAAGAGTGAATTCTTGTAAAATGTTAAATAAAATCAGCTGCTCACCAGACACGTAGGCACACAGAATGGTCATGTGGGACAGGGGTCTGGAAGTGAGGAGGGGTTAGAGGGCAACCATTCAAGTCTCCCCTGAAAAAGCAGAGGTAGGAAAATTCCATAATCCTGGGTTTCACACTTAGAAAAGAACAAAATCAAGTCTGAAAGTCAGAGAACTATGCCTGGAGTTCTTTAGCTGATGAGAGAATTTACCTGTCCGTTCATGGCCCGCACATCCTAACTGAGGGATGGGGCGCAGGCATGGCTCTTAGAGAGAAAGGGAACAGTTGACAGTTTCCAGCCTTCTTCTGTTTTTTATGCCCCACTGGAGCCTCCTCTCTCAAACCTACCCTACCTGGGCCCTGGTCAGAGCATCCCAGGAGCCCAGATACTTAAGTTCAGCCCTGGAAATGTCAGGAAGGATTAGGCAGATACCAGACACATCCTTGTTGACAGTTTCCAGTGACTTAGTGAATATCTATTAGACATTCTGAGCCTAATTCCCAACCTGACAGGTTGTGTTGCCCCGCTGTTTCTCTGAGTCCCCATCCAGGCAGGGAGCATGTGACTAACATTATTATTATTATCATTGGCCTCCTTGGTTTGGCCAGGAAAGCTGGAAGCTGCCATTTGGAAGTGAGCCTGAAATTTCCCAGATCTAAGCATCCAATTCATGGGCAGAGCTCCTAGAGCAAGCATACGGGGAGGGTCCAACCTCCTTATCCAACCTCCTTACTGTCTTGGAAAAAAGGGGAATATCATGGCAAGAGCAGTGGGGGGAAGGGGAGTTCTTCCTTTTCCTGCTTCACAAAGTTTGGGTGGGACCAAAGTTTTATTGGCTTAAATGTAAAGGGAATGTACATTTCCCACCATGCCCTCTTTCTACCATCATCTCCGGTCAAAAGTATGGACCTGCCATTTGTACAGAAACCCAGCTCATGCTGCCTTTTTGTCCCCTGGCGAACCTTTTCCCACCTCCTCCCTGCGATAACAACAACTGAAACACCACTGATGCCATAACATATTTTCAGATTATCCCAACCAGCTAAAATCTCTCTTTAACACCCTAGCCTGCAGTCTTTTGTTAGGGCATTTTTTACAGCATTTATTTTCCTCTGTCATCCTCATCATGGCTTATCTGTTTGCTTACCCATTCTTTCTTGATTGTGTCCCACTTTGAAAGAAGGTTGGTTTGTAGTGAATGTGTGAGGACCTGGGGGAAGCCCTGCCCATCCTTCTAGAGAACACAACTTTCCTCTGAAACCATGAGGGCTGGGGAAGTATCCCCACACCATGATTGGACCCTTGTCCATCCTGCTGAGGGTACTGGACTTCATCCTTGTGTTCACAGGGCAGAGTGGGATAGTTTGGCATCGAAGGGTAAGGGGGTTCCCAGGACCAAACAGGAAAGCTTCACTGAAGCATTAGTCAGTGCACACGGGATCTGTGCCTGTCTCTCTGCAAACCCCAGAAACCTGCCTGTGCTCATTTCCATGAGGGCTGGTCTGCTTTCAACTATTTCCTCCTCCATGGATCAAATCACCTCTCCCTCCCAGGCAGGAAGCCCGAATTAAGAGATGATGACATGGTGTTCTGAGCTCATCGAGTGACAAAAGGAATACCACCAAGGGTGTGCAAAGGTGAAAGCTATTGAGTAGGGAGTTACTTGTGGGGCTTGGACTACAGACCTTATTTAACGGAAAGAGGGTGAGGTGCAGGTGCAGTTTGCTCTGCACCTCTGAGGTCATTCTAGGGGTCATGGTCTATTGGTAAATGTGCACTCATTGTCTTCAGACGACCTTGATGCTAGGAAGCCAAGAAGGCACGCAGGCTTGGTTCCTTCCCCAGCAGTGGACAGGGACCAACACATTTCTCCACTTCACTGGCTGCAGGACTTTGAGTGAGTTCCTTAATCCTGCTGAGCCTCAGGTCTCTTATCCGTGAAACAGTGATAGACGCTGCTTAGGACTCGTGTTATTATGAGGTTAAAATACACACTGGATGTGCAAGTGCGACTTAAACTTAAGGACACTGAAACGTGTAGGGTGTTACTGCTGTTGTCATTACTTAAAGTAGTGGCAGTGTGCAGTCCATTTGAATACAGACAAAACAAATATATTTAAAAAGAATTTCAAAAGGGTCACTTATTCTATCTTTTAAAAAACACTAATCTATGAATAATAAATACAAGACACATCTTGAAAAATCTAAAAATAGAAATTAGAAAAAAACAGTGGGGGCTTATTCACTAACAAAGGTACGTTTATTTCTTCACAAAAGAATTTATCACACTCTTCCTTCAATTACCTTTGTATTATTTATACACCATTAACTCCCTAGAACAAATGAATGTAAAGCTAATGTTAGGAGCTGTGGTTTGCAGATCAGTCCAAGTTAAAATTGTAGTTATCTATGATACAGAAAGAATGTAATATTTAATTTACACAACTGTGTAGGGCGAAAAGGTAGACCCAGCCTTGCTGTGAGCCTCCCTTTAGTTATCCGAATGTGGAACTTCTGTGGGGCTCTTGGGGGCAGTGATGCCTCCCACCTGGGAGCCAAGAAGCTGCTTTTGCTCCCTGATTCCTGCACTGGAGGTCTCCGATGCTTGGTGACTGGCGTGATTATTGTAAGGGTCCCATGAATCCAGGCACCTGCCAACCACTGCTGCATAAGGAATCATAAGGACTACAGGCACATGAGTGTGCTCCCTCCCGCCCTCCCATCCCACTGAATATCTGCTGAGGAAGTGGACAGGAGAGAAGCCACCTTTCTCCATGTACACCAGTGTGGCCTGACTACTGGGTCTGAGTCCCTGGCAGTTGAGGGAAGCTGGTCATGGGCAAGGGCTGGAAGGCTGGATGGTGGCAGTGGGTGGCTCTAGGAAAGCAGTCAGAGAAGCCAGGGTCTCCAGCTAAACCTTCACTGAGGACCTCGGAGTACATTTCAGGTGAAATGGATGTCCTGACCACGGAAACCAGAAGACATCACTGAGGAGGTGGTGATGAGACCATGAGGTCTGGAAGAGACCCTGTCAGTGCAGTGCAATCAACCAGCTCAGTTATGGTGAAGCACCTGAGGCTCTGCTTCATCTTAGCGACTGCTGCCTGTGCTCAGAGTGTGTGCCAGCCACGTGGCTAAGGTGACTTCCCGTGTCTGGTAACTTCTCACCAACACCCTGAAAAGTTCCATTATTGCTTCTTCACAGGAGCCACTTGCCTTTCAAAGGGGTGAAATGACATGTACCAACGTCACATAGTT